AATAAATAAATACTATTAATGTCTGACAGCAGGTCACCCGCTTCCTCTGCAGCATGTTTCTGTTCACAATCCCTGCTTTAGACGGGATTCTTTTCATAAAAAAGATCTCTTGTATCACACTATCATATCCAGCATTACGCAACGGCCAGTATTCACACATCCACACACACACACACACACACACACACACACCAGTACTTGGGAAACAGCCCATTAGACGAGTCATTTCAGCAACATACCAGCTACCTTGCTAGAAGTGGAAATGCTGCCACCTTCCCTTTCATGAAACAAAGAGAAGCACTAGAAGAGGTGGGGAACGACAGAGAGGCAAACAAAGCTCTGTGAAGCAGGACTATCAAAGAGAAAACAGCCTTTGAGGCAGACAAAGAAAAGTAAGACACAGCAGTAACTACTCTGTGTGCGCGTGTGAGACAGCCACAAATCAAAGAAACCAAAGAAAACAAACAAAGGGAGCAACAAGAAGCCTGGAAGAGGGGAAGAGATGAGAAGACTCAATGCGACTGAGGAGTCAGAGCAGCATGAAAGAGGGCAGAAAAGCGCCGGATGAAATTTGTTATCATCTACTTTCCCCCCCTCAAGTGCAGTTTGTCATCAGTGACAGTGGAATTAACCCTCTCAACTATAATCTCAACCTCCACCGCTAATCTCAGGCTCGCCCGAGCACCACCACTCCTCCGGATGACGTCCCCACAAGCAAATTAGCACGCAGCCTAAAGCAAAGGCACTCAACTGGCAGCTCCGTCAGGGGAAAGAAGAGAATGACACGTTTCCAACCGACTCCTAATTGCCAACTGGTTTTGCGATTTCTGACAGTTTAGGTTCGGCCAAGTTTCACAAAAAAAAGAAAAAAGAAAAAGAAAAAAAAAAACAAAAAAACCCCACCCCAAACTAAACAAACAAACAAACAAACGACAAGAAGTTTCCGATCAGCAGGTAAGTGCTTTTAAATGTTTCTGTGTGAGTGCAGCGTGAGAAAAACCATTCAAGTAGACGAATGTGGAAAATGTGTTTAAAAATAGAGAATTTCTCAGAGTCACGCGCATGTGATCTGTAAATACTGTTCATCGTTTTAACGAACATACAGTCAGCTCCAAAATCTGTTATTAATCAGCATCGCGTTCCACACAAGCTCACGGTCTCAGGTAGGAACAGCCCGCATGGTTGGAAAATCATAAAGTTCTCCTTCCTTTTCTCCTGACTTACACTTCCACAGTAGGATTTTTTAAAAATAGCATGAAAATATTTTGTAGCATTAATTTCCCACATCACTGTGTGTAGTATAGCTATAATACACTGCAATACATGTGACCCATTTAAACTGTTTTATAAAAGCACTGAGTTAGCTCTGTGGCTTTTTTCCAGTGAGCAGAGCAGATATGTATTACTGGATTTTACTGGAAACAACACATTACACTTATACACAGTTAAAGCAATGCAGCACAACCTTTCCCCACATTTAAATTTTCAAAGCCAGGAAGGACAAGTTAGCTTGTGATCATGCAAATCTTCCCCCGATCTCATCCTGGTTTTGAGTATATGTGATACAGGTTTCTGACAGGGAACACGAGACACATACACTTGCATAAATTACACAGTGCAGGTTTACAGATCCTGTGGGTGGAGTTGATCCCAGATCTGTCACTAGCTCGGCCACTGAGAACAAAGAAAGCTGTGAAACCTGGCTAAGGTATGCCACAGTATTCTGATTTCTAACAGTGTACTTTGGATAGTATTACCACCGTATCCACACTTCTGGAACCAGGATGTTTACATCTATAATACTCAAAAGCATGTGATCAGAAGGAGGATACGCTACCATAACTCCTCTGAATTATCAAGACGTCATGTTGACCCCCAAGTTTCCAGGCTTTGTCCTCAGTGCCAGTGTAATAACTCATATTGTAGTTATTTTCAATAGTTTTTATCCTTTTATGCTTCGTACTGCAAGTGTTAGTTACAAAGAACTCTCAAAACTAGAAATGCCACGCGCTGTCACACCCATTCCAGCAATTCAGCACCAGCTTAATGACTTGCCATTGCACACACTGAAGTGTCTGCAGAGCCGTCTGATTAACACATTTATCACAGAGAAGGGCCTCGTTCTGTTCCTCTTGTTAACTCAACCCATATGTGAATCAGCCTGTTTACGATACTCTCGTAAACAGAGCAGCTTCTCTATGAATCGGAAGGTCGGCGGTTCGATCCCCACCTCTTACAGCCTGCATGACAGAGCAGAATATTGTTCCTCCAGAACACTTTTAAACCCGGTTGGATTAAAATTGTTCAGGCACAGAAAAAGCACCAGTGCATTTACCGCTTTCTATCAGACACACGTTTCTTCTCGGGCAGTGAGATTCCTGCCTTCTCATGACAACCCGCCCACTAAACCACAGGCTAAAAAACTGCTTAGCTCTGACATGTAAATAGCAATTCCACCTCGCCCCACTCACAGTGTCACCAGTGAGCAACAGGAGAAATACCCAGATTGCAAGGGAAATAAAAGAGGTGCTGTATACCTGTCTTCACTAGGATGGATGCCAGAGAACAGACGCTGAACCTCCTTGGCAGAATCTGGGTCAAGCTTCAAGGTCTGCCCAACGCCAACCCCATAGAGCTGGGAGCTTTCTTCGTCCTGCTAACTTTTATTCGTGAGTTTTTTGTCTATATGTTTTTTTTTCCCCCACATTGCTCGTTCATCAATAAGCTGGTCATGACATTGTTTATTTGCTGCTCTCGCACAGTTGTAGTCCTGCTCATCACAGTGGTGACCTGCGCGAGCTTCTGCTGCAGCTGCTGCAGCTGCTGCTGTCGCAAGAGGAAGCTAAAGGGTTCCGACCTTTGAGCAAAAACAGACAAAACTACAAGCTCTCCACACAGCGAGTCCTGATCGTGTTTTAGAAACACACACACACACACACAAGAATTGTACTGGGTGCATGCTGTGCTGTGCAGCACTAAAGAACCTCAGCCCTTGGACAACAAAACACCTGCCAAACACCGTAAAGGATGTCCTGCAACGCTGCCAAACACACCTGCTCAAGTCAACAGGCTTTCAGGAGAGTCCACATTCCTTGGAGCATCACTGCACTCCCAACAGCGATCCCTGAGGACAGGGCGGGGCCAACTCCAGCTGTGTGTGAATCAGGCAGAAACTTCTTGGACCATACAGGACTGAACACGTGTATGAAACTAACTTTAGGCAAACAGTGAGAAATGACTGGGAATGCCCGATTGGATTGTTTTTTTCTCAGAGCTTTCTAAACATAATGATGTGTCACTCTAAAGTAATGAGAACTGGCAGTCAGACTTCTGAGTTAGTCAAGAGCCTCAAGCAGGAAGCAGCTTTCAAAGGATGGTAAGAGAGGAAGTCTGCCCTCTGCTGTCCAGAAACAGAAATGCACTCTTTATCTAAAACTGCACGTTACATACTGTGGAACAGGTGAAGGCGTTATGTTATGATGTAATGCTTTAAGCCTGCACTTATTGTCAGTTATGCTTTGATCTGTATATAAATAATAATAAAAATAATAATAATAACCTTTCACCACATGTGTGAATACTTTACTTACCCTTCTTGTTCACAAAAAGACACCATGGCTTCAAAGTCAGTCATTGCGGTTTTGTCAGAGTCCTTTGCAAAGCCCCGTTTTCCCTGCAGACACATTTAAACACATATAAAAACTGTACAGCAAAGAGCTTTCCACCCTGCTCTGCTGCGAATCTGACCTGCTTTCTTGCCACTTCCTGCCGAATGAGGAAATTAATTTGCTCCTTATCTCTCGGGGAGTAGTATGTGCGACAGGCGGAGGGCAGGCCATCTCTCCCCGCTCGCCCAGACTCTTGGTAGTAGCTGGCCAGAGACTTAGCGAGGTTCCAGTGAGCTACAAATCTGCAGAAACATTTGAATACACAATGGAAGAAAAAAAAAACTAGATACAAGAAGAATGCGAGTGATAACTGTGGATTTGCAGCCTCACCTGACATTGGCCTTATCTACTCCCATGCCAAAGCTGATGGTAGCCACAATAACCAGCACTTTCCCCTGCATCCACTCATTCTGTACCCCTGTCCGATCTGTTGCCTTCAAGCCTACAAAAGCAGAGCTCAAACAGTAAATTTTACACATCCTATATACAGATCAGGCATAACATCATGACCAGCTGCCTAATATTGTGCTCGTTCTGCTTTTGCTGCTGTCGGATTA